TATATATATATATATATATATATATATATTGGAGGTGCTAGTTGGCTGCAGTGTAGCTGCAATGGTATGGTGCTGCAATGGTAAAAAAACAAGCAACTTTAATTGGTTGGAGCATGTACACATGATAAATCATCGTCTACAAAAAGACGCTGTTTTCTTCTAAGAACTATTAGTGGAAGGTTCGTGAAGGACAGGTCATGACTTGGCAACGCAAATTTTATGCGGCTAGTGTTGCAGATTCTTGGTTTTGGGGATTATTTTTGCACATGGAAAGGAACCCACAGACAGGTCACGTTACCAGTCCCAGTAGCGAACATGTTGTCACTCGACATTCGGACAGCCTAGCCAGGGTTTGTCTGCCGTTCAATACCGCGCTTATATTGGGTGTGGTTCGCAAAGGAAGTCGAGTCAGTCCCACTGATGGCCCATTGCTCGTGTGTTTATCTACTGTCACTTTGTTCTTGGTCATTTTCCATGATGATTTAAGGACGTTCATTACATTTCTTTGCACTGTTCGTTAGGTCGTTCTTTCTGACGGCTGTATGGCAGTTAAATACCGGTACCAATTACCCTCGATCATGATGACCGTGGTGCGCGAATCCAGCGAGTTCTCCGTTAAGCGCCTTTTCGGTTGAAACTTCCAAGGCAACTGACCAGATGGTGCGTTTGGTGTGTATTACCATGCCAGTGATGTCGCTAACCGTTGTACCTGTTCAGCTTGATGCTCCAGCCGCCACCGAAGGTCGTAGATGGATGTATTGTCCACCTCGCACATGGCTTTGCTAGCATTCTCACATGGCACCCGTTGCACGTGTATATTGTAACGGCGCCCGAAAACTTGATACAGCATCAGTCCCATTTAAGATACGAGCTTAGGTGGACACAGTTCATGGTTTGCCTTTATGCTCTTCTTAATCCATCGTTTCAATATCAAACCTGCAGTATTGGATGCGTTAACTACCGACAGTTCAAAGCGCCCGTCTGGTCCCTGGAAAGAACCTATATGTATCCAGCGTGCTTTTCTGCTTTTGGTTTGACTGCAAATGGGTAATCCAGCTGAATAAATGACAAGTTTCGGTTTTATCCAACACACTTCTAAACCACCAGTATTTTTGAGACTGGGTGAGCAGCAGTGTCGTTCCTGTAAATGTGCACTACCACAGGACCAGAGAGTTTCTTCAAGTCAAGCTCAGCAGCAATCAGGTTTTCACACCCACGATAATACTTTTGCCACTAACTGCACATGGTCGGTGTCCACAATTTGGCCAATGGAATCAGAGTCCTTGCTTACAGCCTCACAACCTAAGACCAAAAGCGACCTGAGCCATTTGAGTCCATACTTGTGTTGTTGACGGAGAACGCCAGGCTTTTCATTGACGCCTCTAACGCCAACTGGAAGTGTTACGGGCTGGGTAATCCGTTTCCGGTGCCCGGTCCAGGGGTTTCGTAGAAGTAACCTCTTCCCAAATAGAACGCGCCATAAACTAATCGTCATCGTCATCATCATGAGCTGTAAAACCACATACTCGCCGTACAGTGGTTCTAGCTGCCACAGTTTCGCCCACCGGTAATTCGGGGAGATGAGTAAACAGCTGCGTATTGGATACGGTAGCCGATATAATTGATGCTTAAGTACAGGAGCGTCAGTGGACTTCTAATAAGGGAGGCTGCATGCGTTGTAGGCACTAGCTTGGATGCACGAGCTCCGTTGAGGGTACGACTGCGCCATGTCTCTACCATTGATGTGGCCCGCCTCAGGGTTCCCATCCAAAAAGACGGCAATGACCAGCGCAGTTGTGTGCTGGTAATGGCCTTCATACCTCGCTGTCTCTGGCACATGGTTGTCCAGAAAGAACCCTTCGAGGAAGTCGGTCGACTGGCATACGCAGCACGTGACCAAGCCAGCGCAACCTATGCAGTGCGATCAGTTCATCTATCGAGGGTGAGTTACTTCTTCCGTATACCATCCGAAGTACTTATCCTTGTCCCCAGCAGCCTCGAGCGGTCTCAAGATGTTGGCGAACAAACACTGGAGGACTTTTGACATCGTCGGCACGCAGTGGCCAGATTTCTGATCCATATAGTTATATGGAGCGCACTGCAGCATTGTAAACTCGACCCTTGACGGATAAGCTGATGTCACGCCCACGCCACAGGTGACGCAGATTCACAAAAGCTGCTCTGGCTTTCCCAATCGGGCTGGAAACACATTCTTTCGCAAGACCACTGGAACTGATACAGCTGTCCAAGTAAACAAATTTGTCTTCCACCTCAATCGGCTCATCCGCAAGCCTGAGGATAGGGTTCGAACCCACCCAGTCTTGCAGTAGCACCTTTCACTTTGCAGGTGTGAAGCACATGTCAAACCGTGAGTCGGAATTATTTAGATTATTTCATATTGTTTGCATTACCACGGCGTCATCCAAGAAGGGTTGCCTTTTTCTGTGAACGGACGCCCCGGGAGCACTTCGACCTCACAGGCATTAGAGGCTGGTAGTGATTCTTCCATGATCGCATCCGTGACGAAGTTGAAAAGGGAAGGTGAGAGCAGACAGTCTTGCCTGACACCACTTGATGTGATGAACTCGGCCAAGAGCTTCCCATGGACCTTCACACATCCGCGAGATTTAGCGTACGGCGTCTTAAGGGGGGTCAAGAATTTATGGGGGGGCACCTTTTCTCCACAGCGTCAAAGTCAGCTTTTAAGCCACGAAGGAAAACCATTATTGGTTGCTGGAAGCAGTGTCGCCGTTCAAGAATCTGTCGGAGGGTGAAGATGTGATCAATGCAACCTCTTGCAGGACGGACCCTAGCTTGGTTTTCACGGATGTGTTCCCCTTTATTCAGGCAACGTTCGAAGGATAAGACCAGGGAGCACCTTCGATGTCACGGTGGTTTTCGCACAGCGTCCGTGTACCCTTTTTGAAGATGGGGATAACCGTCAACATGCCCTATTCTGTAGGCACTTTCTCTGGTACCAATAAGCTTTGTTAGATAGGTCACCAGAAACTTTTCGCCTTCTTTGAAGAGGGCTGACTAGAAACCATCCGGTCTTGAGCTAGCCCAGATCGATACCGTTGAGCTATAGTAGTTCTTCGAAGATTGGCATGATTCTTGCCGGCATGCGAGGGCCTAAAATAGAACAAACCGTTGAGTGTGCACGTACCATGGCGTGATCGGAATCAAGATGTGTGCCTCAAAAGGTACGACAGTCTTGCATTGTTGCTCTTCACCGCTGGCTGACGGTCACGTGATCCAACTGGTTTCACGGTTGATTTGCTGCTGGGGGCCGCCGAATTACGTTTATGCTGACCCAGCAACGTTTGCTTGTGTGGTTGGAACGGTTTGGGGAGGAACCTCGGTTAAAAAGGAATGTGCGAGCGAACGATACTTCTAGGGTGCCCCGGCCGAAAAATGGGGTTTTGTTGAGATATCTTACCTTGGGCGTTAGATGCAAAAGTCTGATCCACAATGCACTGGGAGAATGTGGGATTTTGTTCGCGGACCCTGCCCGTAGCCTCTGACTCAAAAGTCTGACTCTGTAGGCAAGGGGCAGTTGGTTTTCTATGGGGACGCTTCTTTGAGCCAATGACTCGGTAGGTTGACCCACTTAGCCACAATTGGCCGGCCTAACATGAGGGTGCACACAGCGGTTGCGCACAGCATGTGTATTTTAAACAGCATCTGACTCTGGGTTTAAGAGTATTGAACAATGCACCAGCGGTCACGTCCAACTGTTGGACAATCTGACTGGGCGGTTTCCATGGTCGATCTTTTTTTAACCCGGCCTTCATCTGGTGAAGGCAGCATCACTGCTTCCATGAGTATAAGCATGCTGGTTGCCTGGAGAAAACACCCTACTGCCTCCACACTCCTACTGCAGAGAACAGTACTATTTTACCCCCATTACTCGTAGTACGAGGTGCGGCTGCTTTACGCAGTCGCATTGGGAACGAGACAATCATACTTTACTCCTGTGCCCTCGGGACAGACCACCCCCTACAACCAAACGGGTCAGACTGTTTAATCATTGGCTCAGGGAAGGGTCCTTCAAAAACCTATCAACAGCTGTCTCGCTGTTCAGATTTTTGAGTCAGCGGGTAGAGACAGGATCACCGTACAAAAATTCACGTCCTCCCACTGACTTGTAGCTCATATTTTATCAAACGATCAAGGTGGAGTATCTCACCTAAGCTCCCTTTCTGTCGTTCGTCAGAAACTATGGTTATTCCTTGTGGTTAAAAGTGTCGCCTATAAGGACACTGTGTGCCAACTCGGTAGCGTGTATACGTCACACTTGTTTGGGTTCACGTCCACTATTAACAGAAGACGAGACGGTCCCCCTTCACTGTTAATTTTCAACTGTAATTGACGTTCTATTCTAAACTTCTGCATTTTTCTACTTGATGGGTGAGAAATTCGGCCTCTATGCTCAGAGCACTCATGAGAACTTTCAGTGTTTGACCATTAGTGTCTCCGAAGCATTAGCTAGGTTTGGTGAAAATACCGGGTTAGCAACGCTGAGGTATGTTTGTTGGTCTTGAGAAGAAAGAACTCTCACCCGATGACTTGACTTCTTGGGTTACGCTGGCTAGGACATTTAAGCCGCGCTTCAGATGGCCGTCCACTTCGCAGAGCTCTTGTTCCAGTCGTTTGCTAAGTTGCAACGTCTGAGTGGTGGATAGTCTGCGACTTGGTAACGAAGTACAGGAGACATAACCCTCAAACTCAGTCGGGTTACCTTTTTCGCCTTCTTGAATGCGAACCCCAGGTGAGAGATGGCTCCGTGATGCAGCAAATGGTGCGCCTGCGTTGAGTCGACTGCTGCAATGGCAGTTGCTCATTTGTCCGCCTCGGATAGCTAAAATAACTCAACATCAACCAACCACCATCCTCTAATGACTATAGCTTTACCTGTACCTCATTTTCACTTGGCCGAAGCTATAACAGCCGAAATCAACATTGCAATTGTTACGTAGTTCATGGTTGGTTAACTAATTGCGGTCCTTTTCTTCGCCGTCACGGTTTCCGTGACCGATCCTGTCCGCAAGCTAACGCCCATGCGCGACTGCGGTCATACACACTGACCACCCTTCCTTCTCTGTATCCCAAGATCGTCCTGTACCGCGTGAGGGTACAATCTCTCCTACCATATTAACCATGTCCTATGTCTCTTTTTTGTCTCTGCTTTCTTACTTATTTTAATGATGGTTCCGCGGGTACGTTCTCCTATTCGAAGGTTTTACTGTGTAACCGACAAAGCGAATTTACCAGTGGTTCACTTCTAATGGTGCGATGGCTGGCCTGATGTCATCCACCACATCTGATTCGTGAATTTCGAAGCAATCAGTGTTCTCTCACCATATTGGGCTACTGGCACTGTAGATTTCCGCCTACCATCCGTGAAACCAACGTAATGGACCCTGAATTACCTCAGTTTCGGTAACTGAATAAAAACTGACGAAATGAAACATTCCTTGCCACTAATCGGCGTGCCCGTGTTCAGTTCTGTTTTGTTTCATCCCTTGACGACTTAAGTTTCGTTTCCGTTACATTTGCCATGAGTGGTCACTTCGCTCACTTAGATTAATTGATGGAAAACACTACAGACTACTAGAGTCATAGGGAAAAGAATGCGTTGAGAAGAAAACGAGCAGTGGTCACTAACTCCCGTTGAAGTAGCCGCACTAA